CAAGCCCAGTCACTTCCTTGCTACATGCTACAAGCTCCCCAACAGTACCCAAGTGTTACTGATACCTCATCTCCCAGGGCAACTGTTGTTCCTAAAGAATTGTGAGATCCTTAGATGAAAGGAACCAGGAGAAGGCCACTAACCCATGGGTTGTCATTAGAAACTAGTATTTACACAAGCTGGAAACAGCATCAGAAAGCAAAGCTAACTATTCTACCTGTTTAAGACGACTGATGCTTTAGCCACAGTTAGCAAGATGCAAGCATAGCATCTGCTAAAGTGCCCGCACCCTTGCCACAGACCTAGCAGCGTTAATCAGCACTGCCACTTATTTCTCTGTCTTCAAGTCTTTAATGTACACCACCAGCTGCGTTGTAGACACTTCCAAAAGACATTAAAGAAAAAAAGACTCAGACCAAGGTAAATGCTAAACTCAGCTGGCTTATACAGCTTATTTCCTCCTTAAATTAAGCTTCTCTGCCAGGGCTAGGTCAACAAGCAGAGAAACACACAAGGGCTGAAGGACAGGCTGTTAAGTCCTGATGAGTGTTTTGTCATTATTTCAACAAGCACCAAATCAGGCTCATCAGCAATGAACAGGTCAGCACCTGTGCAGCAAAAGTGACCTCTATTTTGGTAGAGCTGTTCTGGCCCAAGAATTCAGTTCACCCAGAAATGAAACACTATGGAAGTTCAGCATAGATCAAGTATTTTATTAAAGATGCTGTTCTTTTAAAGAGAAAGATAAATTATAGTGAGGAATTCTCTGCTCTCACTGGCAAACTGCACCTAATGAATTAGCAACATGAAAGAAATTAATCTAAAATGAATGAAAAGCCAAGGATAGTTAGTAAATGCTGCCTATCCATTGACTGATCCTGGAAGCATGTGGTACTCACGAACATAGGCAGCGACATTCAGTGATACTGTGCCCGTTCATATTTTACTCTTCCTTCATTACCGATAGAATATTTCAAAGCCTGCACCAAAGGGTAGGATTCTAGACCAGGTGAGAGAAGTCTCATATTCAAAGCAGCAAGGCATAGCTGGAAGAAGGATGAAACCCTAAAGAAAAGCATGTTTTCACTTTGCTTCATTATGAACTCCAGAAAAGAAGAAATCAATCCCTGGAAGTATAGGAAGCAGCAGAGCACTGAAAGAGAACATACACATTTCTCAAGTAGACCTAAGCTTAACCATATACGGAGAAACCAACTTTAGTAATCTAATCACAGTGAGGACTGTTGAAACCCTGTGTTGGTATCCAGCAATTTACATTCAAATCCTAACTTCCACGACTTCCTGTGTGAATCTGGAGGCAAACAGAAACAGCTAGACTCCATGAATAATGAATCCTTTCCTTCATTTTCTCCTCAGCCTTGTCTGTGTACAGTGTATGTTCTTTGAAGTACAAGGCTGTTTGCTACTATACACATGTAAAATATGAAGCATAAAGGGTTTCGATCTCTGCTGGGGCCTTTGGATCAGCTACAAAAGTATGTTTGTGAAGAATTTAAGGCAGGAAATGCAATTCAGCACAGGCATGCATAGGAAGTACCAGTGGCACAGAACATTGGCAGGATCATTTTATTAAGGGTTTATCTTTAGCCAAATAACAGCCCTTTGCAAAGTCTTCAGCATTCAGGTGCCAAGTTGCATTTCCTGCCTCTCACTGCACCATTACATTGGACTTCCTGCTCTGAAGTACTGAGAAAATAGCAGCTTGCTGAGAGACACCAAAACCAGCTGCACTTGAGGAGAGATTGAGGCAGGGGGGAAAGACAGCTCCAAAACCTATTCTGAAAGTTCTGATATACATCCACTTATTTATCAGATGTTCACAAAATACTAGAGGAAATTCCCACTGTCTTCTGATAGCACCTATTGATGTTTGTAAAGGCTCAGAGTTTGAAAATGAAACTTAAGGACCTTGACCTCCAAATCCCTGCATGCAACGCTTTCACCAATCTCATCTCTGTTTATCTTCTCTGTGCAAGGGACAGCAGTGAGAACTGCCCAGAACCACATGCTCAGAAAACACTTCTTGATACACCGGAGAACACAACTGTATTACTTGGTTAAGGAATGGGAGGAGAGAGAGGAAAAAAGGGGGAACAGTTACCTAAGAACAAGAAGCAGGCTTTACAGTTTTTGTACCAATAAAACTAAAGCAATCTAAGGTTTTGTCAGTGCCGAGAATGATTCAGAAACCTAGACTCTGGGCACAAACCAGAGTGGATTTAAATTGCATGACTGGATGCATGGATTCTTATTTGGTGCACGGGGCTATCAGTAAAGTGATTGCAACCTGGAGCTCAGTCAATCAACATCCGAGAAACCAAACTACAGTCCCTGTTGTGCTGGTACTGGCACCATGCAACACAGCATCATCACCTGAGCAAGTTAGTTTATGTAGGTGTTCAGTGTGCTTTGATGTCAAGGTTGTAACTTGACAGACTGGAGAGAGTCCGGCTTCTAAGATCATCAGGCACTTCGAATATGTATTAGGAGAGGCTGAGGAAGCTGGGTTTGTTCAGCCTGGAGAAAAGACTAAGGGGAGAACCTAACTGCTCTCTTCAACTATCCAACAAAGGGGAAAATCACTAAGAAGACAGGGCCAGACTTCTTAGGCACACACAGTGAAAGGACAAGAAGCAGTGGTCACAGATTGCAGCCAGTGATGTTTACTAGCTGTAAGGAAAAAAAAAAAATCCACAGTAAGAGTGGCTAAGCACTGAAAAAGGTGCTCAGAGAAGTGGTGGAATCTCCATCCTGGGAGACATTCAGAACAGGACACAGCCCCAAGCAACCAGATCTAGCTTTAAAGTTAGCCAGGCTTTGAGCAGAGGATTGGATGAGAGACCTCCAAGGGTCTCTGCTGACCTAAATCATTCTTTGATTCTAAAGAAGCAAATTCAAGCTGGCAGCCTTGATGGAGAAGCGATAGCAGCTGTTGCTGCTGCTACTTAAAAGATAGCTTCACAGTGAATTTATACCTGGGCTCCATAAAGGAGGGGGGTTGACTAACCAAAAAAGCCGCTCAAACAGTAAAAAAGATCCACACAATTCTTGACTGATTACAACAGTTAAAATAATGAAATTTATGCAAAACCAGCACAACTTTCTTCTCCTGACAAGTCTTTAACCAAACGGATGCAGGCCACTTTTACTGCAACCTGCTCCTAAAAGCCTTCAGCTGAACAGCAATACCCTCAGTTAAAATGGAAATAGGAATGCCTGGCCTTTAACTAAATGGATATAAAAAACACATTAGAAACTGAGTACATCTCCAGTACGCCTAGTTTAAGCCTGCCTTGAAAAGATTAAATTTTTTCCCTCTTCAGCAGCTTCCTCCTAGTTAAAAAAAAAAAAAAAAAGATCAAGTTATTAACATAAGTATTGATCTAGTTGAAATTTACTGTTAAACAAGATAATGAGATGAAGTACACTGCACACGTGCACCTATACTAGCAAACATCTTTGTTAGGATTACATACACGCACTTTTACACAAGTCTGCCCATTTTGGCATGAAAGTGCCCTCTGTTCCTCCGCCTGACCCCGGGCAGGAATTATGCAATGCCAAAATGACTTTTAGCTTACATTTCTCCACTACACTAATTCTTTTTTTTTTTTAATCTGTCAGCATCTATCAAATAGAGGAAGACAAGAAATAAAAGTTAAAATGCATAAAACAAAACTCTAGGAAACATTGGGTAAAATCCTGACTCCACAGTAATCAGAGCAAGCTTTTGGTCAATGCAGCTAGGACTTCATACATTGCACTTACAAATAATGGTGGGGGAGAGAAGACAACAAAAAAGCTCAAGTGCTGAACTGAAGCTAAGCCTAGGACCAGTCCAACAGGCAGATTTTTGCTTTTTATTTCCTTAAATGGATTATTTCTAAACCTTCCCCCTGAAAACAGGGGTGAAAATGGAAGCACTGACACAATCTTAAATTTAGCAACACAAATGGCATCACTACTGTAAAGAGAACTTGATGCTTTTGAGCTCTGACAAGGGGGTAGGATATCACAGGCAAGAACAGAGGCACTGCAGCATGGCTGGAAGAAGGGATGTGGCACGGACATTCCCCACTGCTCTGCTCCACAGGCTAGCCCTGACCAAGCGAGTCTGCTTCTCCCACAGCCTGCTTCTCGCTGTCAGTGTAGCTCTTTCCTTCCTAACGAATTCAGTTGACTGGGCCTCTCTACTCCTCCTAGCCCTTTCTCAAGGCCTGTTACAAACAACACGTCACAACTACAATGCGGGCAGGCAAGAACAACAAATGTTTCTCTAATTCCTATGGAACTGAGCCATGCTTCTGCCCCTTCTCCCAACATTGACTGCTCCAAGCAGTGGCAGAATCTCAAGTCCATGTGGGACAGCTTCCTAGCCATAGAGAAAGTGGCTGCATGTAGTTTGGGTAAGTTCTCTGGGACTTACCTTGCTTTCCACATACACCCATGTTAGCGTAGAAGGTGCTGGTTTACTCACAGGCCTCAGCTTTTATTATAATAAAACAAGACATGCAAAGTTGCAGCAATTTCACTCCAGGGATGATATAGCACCTGATATTAGTTAAGCCAATGCAACTTTGGGCATGTACAATACATTCCTCTAAACCTTGTTTCCTGGGTTTAGCTCATACTTGTCACACAAGCCAAAACAACCATATGCAGCACTGTGCTGTTTAAACTAGCAAACATCACATTACTAGTCAGATGTGATGCATACTAGTGCAAGTCATAACGCCCTGGGACTGCTCTCAGTCACAAAGGTAACCTCAAAAATTTGAGCCCAACATAACCAATTCTAAAATATTCACCTAGCAGCGTGTCTGTAGGGAGCCTGGAGCAACTGTTTAGAAAGACAAAATACTACTTAATTTGTCCCAATAAGGGATTAACTTCAACTGTCAGCATAGAACAGTTTTGCACACCATGCAGCTGAGAGAGGCCCAAACTAATGCTGGACTTGGAAAAATGCAGCTAGCGTAATGCAAGAACAGCACCTAGGTAACTCCAATTGTGTCTGGGACCCCAGGAAGCACCACCAAATGAACGTGTGGACAGAATAGCTTCCTTTGGCATCTCGGCAAGAGGCAATCACAGGTATATAACAAATTCAAACGTTGGAGCTCACAGGATCTAAGAGGCCACAGTGTGCTGTATGATGCATTATGTTCTAGCAAGCCAGACAGCTAGAGTTTAGAAGAATCTTCTTCCTCTAGCTCAACAATTGGTACCCTGGGAGACTGCAGATAGTGTCCCAAAACAGCAGCAAACAATGAGGATATATGACAATAAGAAATCTAAGGAAACTAGCTCCTTTAATTCCATTCTGCTGAATGGACTGCCAGCCTAGAGTCTTGACCCTCACAGGTCAGATGGCTGCAGCTCAAAGCAGCACTTGACTAACTAGCAACACATGTGTCTGAACAAAGAGCAATCCAGCTATAGCTACTCTTAACACCACAAAAGAACTTCTCAGCTTTGATCCTAGGAAGATCTGAGCAGACAAAGATATTAAGACTCAGCCTAGAGAGGAAAACAATGCCATGAACCATTGTCTGATATTGTCAAATCACTCCAGGTTTTGTCTTGTTCGTGCTGTAGAGGTAGCTCAAACTGTTTGTCAGGAAGCACTGAGCAAAAACTGCAACATTGGATAACTAAGGGGTCAATTGGCTCCATATCCTACTCACCTCTAGGGCACCAGTCCCCAGTCAGTCCCCACTCCTGAGCCGGGGGAGAGATCAGAGAACGGACCATATCCAAGTGATGTTGCGCCTTCACAACTGGCATGAGTTGAGTTGGGAGTCTTAATCCAGCTCCTCAAAAGCCAGGTGGCTGTCTCCAGCAAAGCATCATCATTGCAAGCAACCTGTTGAGAGTCTGATCCATCCTCACTTGTGCAATCCCTGGAGTCTGGAGTAATGGTTTACTGTCCAGTGAAGCTGCCATCAAACATCACACTGTGCCAGCTTGGTGGACAGAGAAAAAGACAATCAGTCTACCGTCTTTCCTCACCATCTAGATTGTTCCATTAAAAAAAAAAAAAAATTATAATTGTAAATATATACACGCACATAACCTGGAATAAGCTTCCAAAGTTTCTTAGGTAGAAGGAATTTGTCCTTGCTTTCCAATGAAACAGGAATGAAGAGGGGAAAATTTTTAGCAATATATATTTAACAGCTCATTGAAAATACAAAGAGCAATGGATGGAAAAGTGAGACCCTAAGAGAACATCTACTGAACAAAGGATTTCAGCAAATCACCTATAAACTACTGAATTGCCATTCACTCAAGAAGGAAGATTACTTTAAGTATCGATGGTATGATTTAATACAAAGTTTCCAGCATGAATTCAAGGAGAAGGGCACAGAGGTTGTGTCAATCAGTCTTAATGTGCTCTAGGTGGCACACAGGACAGAAATGAAAGTGAATGGAGCATAAGGAATCGGAGCTATTCAGAGTGACAGAAGGAAACCAGGTCCCAATTCTCAAAGGGAGTTGGTAGAACAGGTCAAGGCCAGAGATGAGACAAGATTCTCAGCAAGTGCCAGTGACAGAAAACTGAACTGAGACCAGCCACGGGTGAAATTTCTTTGCATGTCGTCAGCAACAAAAGGAGCACTGAGACAGACTTAGAATTAGCAATGACACTGTGTTTTGATTTGTACACAAGCATGCATTTGCCTACTTTCTGGCAAGCGGACCAGATCCTACAACATACTCCCATTGCTCCCCAGGGAGATGGAGGAGAACAAATCTTGCGCGCATCAATGATTTGTGATATCTGTGGCCTACATCCTGATTCTCCACCTCAATATCCATTCTTTGTTACACCTGTTTTCTTAGCACAGTTGGCAGGTAAGGATACCTCTGCTGTTCCACAAGTCTTCCACAAGAAGTAGCCACAAAGCTCTGCCAAGGCACTTCCTGTCCCTTCCCTTGAAATATGATTCTTCAGCCTATCCTTTGTTTGGTGACAAACAGGCGTCAAAGCTTGGCAACATTTCCAATTCCCCAAGAAGGTATCTCCCCTTAATCAACTCTTCTTTCCAGCGCTTCTCTTTCCCAACTTCCACTTTTTACACTTTGACTTTGCTCCAAAATGAAGACAACCAGTAATCTGCACCGACTCAGCAATACGTGCAGGATTAACACCAGTCCTGCATTTCCAGTTCACTGTTGCATCTGAATCCTCTTCAGCACAGTTGTCCAGAATCTTATGGACCACTCTGCATTAAAACAGAGGCTGTAAAAGCAGTAGAAGCTATTTTAAACTCAGAATTTCTTTCTGCTCACAATTACAGTGGCATCCTTGAGCTCTAAGGAAAATAAAGGTTGTTCTGGAGAGCTGGAAGCTGCACATCACCAGCTTCTGCCAGAAGCTTCCCTGACAGTGAACCTCATTCTCTTACCATCCCCACTACTAAGAGGCGGCTAGCTGCATTATCAGCATAAATGGCCAGAAAGACACCTTGGTTTTTCAGACACCTTTCGTGAATACTGAAGACTGAAGCCTCACAAAATACAGAAGAGCATACAGACAGCAGGCAGGGCAGAAGCAAGTTGAGTTCAGCTTTAAGTGCTCTGGAGCAAAGCTAATACATTGCTGAGCTGATCAGTCACTATGTTAAGCAGATACCTACAAGAAGCAATAGGCCATTCAGCATAGACAGAAATGTGCTAAGTGGGGCACTTGGTAGCATCTGCAAACTGGTACATCAGCTCCCAGGGACAGGAATCACTTCACCCCTCTGAAAATCTAACCCTTTTTTGGGGGCACAATTATGCTCCATGAAACCACAGCAGACAGATCTCAGGCAAAACAGGGAAGGGAAGGAAGGGGAGGGGGTTAGGTTATCACCTCTGTCACTTTTTAGCTGAGATACAAAACTGGAAACTGCTGTGGGGAGATTTTAAACGCCCCAAGAGGTCACAAGTCAAAGTGTTCAGGAATGAACAGCAAACATTCCAGTGACTCCTTCCCACAAATTTGTTTTTGTATGACTATTTTGAGGGCGGGGGGGATGTCTCACAAAGAACACTTCACAGTGCAGGGGACTACTGGGTGCAGTGCTGCTTAAGGGCTGAAAAGAACAAGAATGCAAACCTTATGCACAAATTAAAACTCAAAATAAGGTCTAGAATGGATCTGTATAGCCAGCCCTAATGTCCTGACCACTGCATCTTCATTGCTTTGGGTAGATAAGCTAACTGCAGTACACATCAGCCAGGCTCACCAACATGTAGCATACTCACAACAGTGAACGCTCAGCCTGAGGCTGTGTGGGAAACAGGTGAAGATATAGCGGAAAAGGGCACGCCATGGGTCAGAATGAAACAAGAGGAATCTTACAGAAAACCCTGTGCAGGACAAATAAGATGAACTCAAAAGGTCATAGCTGTAGCAGGAGCAAGTAGAGATCTTAGAGACAAGAGAGGCAAAGAAGGACTTTACCAACAAGTTCAGATTCTCTGTGGCCTAATGAAGAGCTGGAGCAGTTGCTCACTAAGGAACAATCAGTTGAAGAAATAAAAGAGGCAGCAGAACTCCAGCAGGATGCACAAATCACCTTCAATAAGCCAGTCGTGAACTGGCTAGAGTCTTGCCCACCATTTAAGGAGCTAGCACAGTCTTTGTACAGCATTACCCCAGATCTAGGATGCTCTTTTGAAAGGCAAACACCCCCACATAAGCAGTTTCTGAAAGATGGGGAATCGTCAAGTCCCTTATAAAGCCAGAGGCCAGTGCAGTAGCGCAAGCCTGGGTTCAACTTTGCAGCCTACCTCAAAACAAAGAGAAAGTCAGAAGGAGAATAATTAGAAAACAGAAAAGGCTGCCGTCAGTGAAGGAGATTCTCTAGACCAAATTCTAAAGGAGATAAGGGAGTAGAAAAAGGTTCATAAAATGAGTGAGAGAAGAGAGGTACTAGTCCAGCAGGTGCTCTTATGTTCACATTGTATCAGGAGCTCAAGAGGACGCCTCTGACAGACTGCAAAAGCCATTTTACACAGATCAAAAGGAAGATCTGAAATAATATCAGCTTACCTGTGAAACTTGCTGCCAGACAACAGCACTGGCAGGAGTCAAAGGCAACTTTGATACTTAGGCAGAGAACCCAAATATTAACAGTTACCCTAAAAAGCACGGTGAGGATTTAAATCTGTCACAGGCCAAAGCATACAGAGCAACAAGTAACACAACGCCTTTTCCCGGTAGGCTATCCCGCTAGCGGGCTAGTCACGGAGCCGCCAAAACCCCTCCTGAAAGCACCCTGGCCCAGGCACAGGATGATGGCTCTCCGAAGTTTTCACTCCTTCCACGCACCCCACGGCCCAGACAGTCAGACGGAGCCGCCAAAACCCCTCCTGAAAGCACCCTGGCCCAGTCAGAGGATGATGGCTCTCCGAAGTTTTCACTCCTTCCACGCACCCCACGGCCCAGACAGTCAGGCGGGTTTCCAAGCAAAGCCCTTCCCCGCGAGGGAGCCGAAAGCCTCTTCACGCCCAGCTGCCAGGGGGCCTGGCCGCCACCGGCCCGGGGCCCCCCC